CTTTTAAATATTATGAGTAACCTTTATCTCTACAAATTCTCATTTCATTAAAATATCTCTTGTCAAAAAATATGCAATTATTGTTTGATCTGAAATCCCTGTAATTTATTAGAACAATATAACTGACTTAAATCTTTGCCTAGATTAACATTTCATGTTTCTTTCTTATAAAAATAAGATACAATTTCAACATAAACTTAGCTGTTTAGCTTCTCTGACATAAACTGTTCAGCTCTAATAATAAGAACTTAGATTAGATTATCTCTAGATTAGATTATCTTTCCTTCTTATCTGTGAATTGGGATTATGTCTTTATTGTCACATGGGTAAAGTCTGTCTCCATGTTCTCCAGCTTTCCTTTTCTATATTCTTTACTTGCACTACTGGGCCCTACTGAAGTTAGGGGTAGTTCCCTCAGATTGTTGATATGCTTCTCCTAATCCACTATCACAAAAATTGATAATAGGTTAAAATATTACCTCTTACAGGGTATTTGTATTTTAACTGAGAACACTTATAAGCTAAATAACTAAAGCTTTAGCAGACTTTCAGGTAATGGGGTTCAGGGTATAATATCCCAAAATATGGCATCTTGGTATACTAAATATTTTAAGCTGAAGGAATTTGAGAAATGGCATATGCAGAAAAGACTTTCTGACCTTTCCCTGAATCAAGAAATAAAACTGTCAACTGAGGGATGCCCTCCCTATACTCAGGGGATGGGGACATCCTTATCTCTAAGACAGAGGGACACTAAAAGGAATCTGAACAAACAGGCCTTGCTAAGTTTCCCTTAGCTTAACTAAATTTAGCTCATATGTTCTTGCCCTATCATGTGTTCTTGCCACTGTCTACTCCTCATCAAGCCTAGCATAAAAATTCTCAGGTTTAACCACTTCTCCAGATCTTCATTTCCTTATGAAGGCTCCCATGTCATATAAAACTTATATTAAATAAATTTGTATGCTTTTCTCTTGTCAATTTGTCTTCTCTTACAGAAGCCCAGCAAGAACTTAGAAGGGTAGAAGAAAAAGATGCTTTTACTCCCTTATACACATAGGAGGGTTCTAGAGGGTTAAGGCTAACTCTTAAATTCATTGGCAGACAGTAACGTAATTTGCTGAAAAGTAAATGCTTCCCTCTCTTTCATAAATAATCATTTCAATTATTTTACAAAGGTAAACAAGATGAGATAAAACTTAATTTTAGATTCTTAATCTCCAGAAAGAACAAATTACAAAAAAATTTTCACCTATATGAAGACATAAGAATTGTGTTAGCCAAATTTTCCTGTCTAAATGATCTTATTATAAAAGCAAAATAGAGGGTAAAAATTATATACAGAGATTATAAACAATTTGAAAAATATTATAGATGACACTTCAAAAATAACTTACTTTCTTTGGAAGAAGGAAAAGGTGTTAGAGTTTCTTTGTTGTTTTTTGTTTTTCTCTCTACTGTATAGTACTACATTTTTTTTGGCAAGGAAAAATTAAATTATTTTAAAAGTACACTAGTATTAAATACTTATTAATTTAATAAACAGAGAGATAAAGTCACATAAATCCCAGAGTTTAATTGTAAATATTTACCTTGGTCAGAATTAAGAACTACTCTACAAAAATAATTCCTTTAAAAAATATTATAAGGAATATAATAGGCTTTCATTTGTTAAGTTTTAAAACACCAGAATCTAATGATAGTTTTTGGGAAAAATAAACAGAAGAATTTTAAAAAAAGATTTATTTATTTTAGAGAGGGAGAGAGGGAAGGGGAGAGAATGAGAAAGCAAGCACAAATGTGTTGGGGGGAGGGCAGAGGGAGAGAATCTCAAGCAGACTTCCTGAGGAGCTGAATGTGGAGCCCTGTGGGGGGCTTGATCTCACAACCCATGAGATCATGACCTGAGCCGAAATCAAGAGTCAGATGTTTAACTGACTGAGCCACCCAGGTGCCCCAATAAAAGTATATTTTTAAGGCATTAAAGTAAGTCATTTGGTAGAAAAAAACCTTTCTAACATGATTCCCTCAAAATATTCTAACTTTGCTTTCCAATATTCAAAATAGTTCCATTTTCTCAAGTGAGATTTATTCTGGGAATGCAAGGGTCATTCAATAATCGCAAATCAATCAACATGATACACTACATCAACAAAATGAAGGATAAAAATCATATGATCTTCTCAAGAGATGCAGAAAAAGCATTTGATAAAATTCAACACCATTCATGATTAAAAAGTCAACAAAGTGGGTTTGGAGGAAACATACATCAATATAACAAACACTATTTATTGGTTGCTATTAATGATGACATCTAAATAAAATCAACCACCACATTCTAATATATTAATTTGAAGTACTAAATTAATGAATCTCTTAATTACCATGAAACACACTTTTCCCTTGCCTTTAATTCCTTGAGAACAGAATTTAAGATTAGTAGAAAAAAATGTTACTTATTTCCTCATAATGTAATCAAATGCATCATTAGAGATTATAAAAGGTTTTTTAGCCTTGGAAGGCCATAGGCAGATAGTTTGGATACTTCACTGAAAAGGATTCTTAGAACCCACAGTTCTCCATTCTTCACTGTGTTCTTGGTACTAGAAAAGACCTAACGACACCCAATGACTCTTGGAAGAGCTTAGCTTGTGGTTCTCCTCAAAGCACTGTGATTGATTCACAGGGGCCAATAGTTGGTATTTAGAGGTGAGATAAAGCAGCTATGGGATAAGGGATAAGATAAGAGGATACTGGAAAAAAAAAACCCCACAACTTAGGAAAGTTGTGAGGATAAATAACACAACTTAACACTTTGGTTTTAAAGTAGGCTTTCAAAAGGGGGCTTAGAGAATTTCACAATTCGGGTCCTTTGGGAGGATTATAAATGACAGGTAACTTTATTTTTCTTTCTTCATTCCCTCAGGACTCCCCCAAAATAGTACAAAGCACTACTGATTCTCTTCATTCAGCCTGTGATTATAAAGACTAAAACAATCAACCCAGGTCTCTATCCAGTTACAACTATGAGCCAGGTATTGTCAGATGACATAAAGGCATTCCTATATTAGGCAACTCACCCATACTCATCAGAGAACAATGATCAGGCTAGCTGCTCTGCTTTTTGGTGTTCTATTTATATTTATCCTGAAGAAAATAAAAGAGAGTAGCAACTTAAAAATCAGTCTATGAGGTATGAAAAACTTTGGACTGAATGTCACTCTCATATTGTGTTTATTTTAAAATTTCAACTAGCTTTTTAAATTATTTGAAAGGAAGTAAGTGGTGTGTATATAAGCTATTTAATTATTTTAGAAGTAATCTTTAAAATTAAAACAGGATGGGGAGCCTGGATGGCTCAGTCAGTTGAGTATCTGACTCTTGGTTTTGGCTCAGGTTGTGATCTCATGGGTCCTGGGATGGAGGACTACCTCGGGCGGCACACTCAGTGGAGAGTCCATTTGAAGATCTTTCATTCTGCCCCTCCCTTCTCTCTCTGTCTCTAAATTAAATAAATCTTTAAAAAATAAAATTAAAATAGGGCAGTATAATGTTGCACTTTTTGATGGTTTTACGAGAGACTATGATTAAAGTTTCAACCAAAAGAAACAAGCTAAAAAGTCAAAAAATTAAATGTATTTTAAACCCTTTAAACAACAGATAAAAATTTTTATAGCAGGAGTTCCTGGACCTGCCAACTGGAATTTAATGCTTCTCTTGGGAATCCACTCATCTCTTCTGCTAATGAACTTCCAGTATCCCTGAAAACCTAACAACGAGGAACATAAACATTTAGGCTCTAAAGTCTTTCACAAGTGAGGGAAAATAAAAAGTAGTAAATTTTAACAAAAAGGTGGGGATGTATCCTTTGAAATATCAGGCTCCCAAACTATATTCTTAGTAATCTAAGATTCTATGGATTGCTTCAGGAGTTCATTAATGTACAGTTTAAATTTCATTTTAAAAGTTTCATTTCAAAAATTGTGATTGCAAATAGGCACATGAAAACTCATATGCCAATTTTAACATAAAAGAAACCACTAATCTATTAACACTTATTTTCATATAACTCTCATTTATAGTTAGTAAATGATATAAATAATAACTTATGAAGAAAATCACTTAAAACTTATTCATTTATATTTTATACAATGAATTTCTGAGAGTTTATTTTATTTTATTTTATTTTTAAGATTTTATTTATTTATTTAACAGAGAGAGATCACAAGTAGACAGAGAGGCAGGCAGAGAGAGGGAGGGAAGCAGGCTCCCAGCTGAGCAGAGAGCCTGATGCGGGACTCAATCCCAGGACCCTGAGATCATGACCTGAGCTGAAGGCAGCGGCTTAACCCACTGAGCCACCCAGGCACCCGAAAGAGTTTATTTTAAAAGGAGTTACCCTGTTAAAATTTTTTGAAAATCATTTACCTAGATTCTAGAGTATAGAGAATCAAGGCATGCTTCATGAGAATCAGATGAAGAGATAAGCAGAAAGATTAAACTACTATTTTGTAACTGTTTATACTTTAATGCCAAGCAAAATCCCAAGAAGTTATGGTACATTTAATAGTAAAATGTCAGTAAAAAATACTTTAATATAGTCTCTAAAGACAATATTAAGAAAATTATAATAAATACAAGTTCAAATTTGAGATCTATCAATCTCTTTTTCTAGGGTATGAAATAGACCAGTTAAATACTCTTCACTTTCCTCCAAATTTTATCTATAGCAAGAAGGATTCAAATACCCCCAAGAACACTAGAGAAACCAAAAACCAAGAAAATGTCCCAATATTCTGGTGTTATTTGGGAAGCATTTTAAGGTCATGCAATGTTACTATGTATCATGCAAGTCTATTCTGACATCTACTTTGAGAGTTACTTAGCTGTTTGAATTAAGAGGAATCCCAGATTTGTTTTTACCATACACCCTCAAAATGGAAAGAAAACAGTATGAGTAAGGCAGTACCATCATTTAAAACCACATGTGAAAAGGATACTCTTCACTATTCCGGATGTCAACTACCAGGAGCTTTGGTTTACTGGACTTTGTCTTCTTGGGGGGTGTTTTGAAATGGCCTGTCACTGTGAGTTCACACAAGTCAATCAGGTCCTCTGCTGAAATCCGGGGTGATACTTCTGACTTTAGGTCATTTAATGGGATAGATTCTCTTGACTGAAAAAAATATACAAACAACACAAATATTGAGAATAATACTATATAGAGAAAGAAACTATAGCCAATATAGAATATTTGTAGGCTCTTGATATCAATCATTATAGCATACAGGAGAACAGGTAACTGAATCTCACTTTAGTGGTCTACTGTGTAACTGTATTCCTTACTACTGAGGTTTACTTATTCACAGATGAAAGCATTGTTCTTGAGCTCCTGGCTCAAATTTGATACAACGAGATGAGGCCGACTTTTCTTTATGAGAGGACTGTGTATCTTTAAAGACAGTTCCTTTAAGTACATTTCACTTTTCTTCAAGTATAATTACAATTGTTGTGATTCACATTAATTAAAACTCTGGTAATATAAGAAATTGCATTGTAACTCAGTATACATACTAATTAAAGAACCTGGTACTAATATACATATTAGACTTTTATAACATAATTTATGTCCCATACGGATAGTTGAGCAGAAATTAGATTTTCAGAGATGAATGCAAGGAACATAATACTTTCTTAGATAGTAAACAAAAATGACAATGTATCTTAATTGTGAAGGAATTAAAATCAGACTCCAGACAATCAAACAAGTGCTTTGGTCCATGCGACTATTATATGGTGTAAGACTGATTCAGACTAAGGGCTGTTTACAACTGTTCTCTCCATTACTTAGTAGGGAGAGGGAATTTCCTACCTCCATAAAAGGCAATGCAATACAAATCAACTCAATTCAAACTAAATTTATGAAGCACTAGTAGTCACTCCTGAAAACTTATTTACCGTAACTTGAGAATTTAAGAACTTTCAAAATTCACTTGATTGAAAACACTGGGATTGAAAAGAAAAAACATATTTATATGCTTAAGTTTTCAAAACTGAGCCTATTATCTCATTTACTCATTTTCTCTGTTTTCACAGTTCCATTGTAGGATATATTTAGAATTTCCAATTTAGAATTTCTAGTCAGGAGAGAGCAAATCATATGGATCATTTATCAGACAGACTTTTTTTAAGGCTTTTATTTAAATTCTACTTAGTTAACATGCAGTGTAATATTAGTTTCAGGTGCAGACTATAGTGATTCAACACTTCTATACAACACCCAGGGCTCATCACTTCAAGGGCACTCCTTAATGCCCATCACTTATTTAACCCATCCTGTGCTCCACCCCTCTGCGCCCCGCCCCCCGCCGCCCCTGGTAAACAGCAATTCAGACAGACTTATTTTGAAAAAAAATTGTTTTTGGTTGTAGTTTCAATTTGAGCTCTCAACCTTTGGGTTTCTCTGACTATGCCATAAATTCTTCAGTGGTAAAACACATTTTCTCCCACTTCATTAGTTTTTAAATAGGAATGGAAATGGCTAAGCTTTGTGGGTTTATGGCTCTTAATAAAAGACAGACATTAGACATTTTATTTTTTTTAATATTAAGAATTAAATCTACTTAAATATTCTGAAATTAAAAATGCTTCAAAAAGATAAAAGGACTTTAAAATCAGCTAGCCTTACAATCAATGCTTCCATCTCCTTTTTTGTTAGCTTGCAATCTCAGTATTTTTCTCAGTCTTCACATGAAGTTGCACATTTATGAAGATAAAATAAAGAACTTTTGATTACCCTAGTTCTGCTTTTAGGCATTTAGTGATGAATGCAGCATTTCAAACAGAAGTTTCGTCTGAATGAAATATGTGCCTTGCCTGATGAAGAAGAGAATCTGATAGAGAATTTGACCAGCGTATTCTCTATGAAGAACTGATTTAAGAAAGATCTGACCTTGGCATTGGTTCCAATCAAATATATCATGTATAAGGAGTTTCTCAAAGGAAAGAGCAATTGTTATACGTAATGGTAAAAGCAGAAGAAGAGAGGAATCACTGACAAATTCATAACTTTCTGAACTTTTGAGTGTATATATCAGTGAAGAACTTTAAAGATTTTATTTATTTGGCAGATAGAGATCACAAGTAGGCAGAGAGAGGGGGAAGGGAAGCCAGATCCCTGCTGAGCAGAGAGCCCGATGTGGGGCTCGATTTCAGAACCCTGAGATCATGACCGGAGCCGAAGGCATCAGCTTTGATCACCCACTGAGACACCCAGGCGCCTATCAGTGAAGAACTTTAATAAGACATGCAAATTCCTCTGCAAATTAACTTTAAGAGATTAATAAATCAGATTTAGAATCAATTGTACTACTTTGCCTTATGAAGAAAATAAATACCAAAAATTTACAGAACCTAGTTTCTCTTCTATTAAGACAATCTTATATGCAATTTGACTATTCATTGTGCAATTTCTACTTATAAAAATAAAAATATAAGTATATTTTTAAAGTATAAAAATAAAACCTCTGTACTTTTGTCTCATTTAGTATTATTAACATTGGGATTTTCCTGTGTGACTGGGTTTCAAATTCATGGGACTTTGTTTATGGACAGCAGACACAAATCTATTTATTTATTTATAGATTTTATTTATTTATTGGAGAGAGAGAGACAGAGATATGGGTCCTCAGGTCAGTAAGACTAGTCTGTACATTGTCTTATTCACACCTATTGATTATAAGTTCTATAAGAATGAGTATCTTTGTTTTGTTCATTAATGTATCCCACTTAAAATGTGTGGTACTTAGTAAGAACTCAATAATTATTTATGGAACATTTCCTTGGTCATTCACACTTCAGAACTCTTAGAGTTATTCACTTACACACCACTCTTCTCTTTTCTACTTACCTAAACCCTACTGATTTGAGATAAAAATCTGATCATGTAACTTTTATAATTAAAAACACTCAATGGCTTCCAGACATTGACAGAATGAACCCAGAATTCCTTAGTATAGCATGTAAAGCCCTTTATGAATTAAACCCTGCCTATAGGCAGGAGACCACAGACCTTGGAGTTAGACTCCCTTACTGAGCTGAGCACTAATGTTGGGAATTAGAAGAAAACAGTAATGAATAGGTGGGTAGGGAACAGACCATGAAGGCTCTGAAAGATGAAGAAGCTTGAGGCTATAATGAATAGGTAATTACTATAGGATTGCTGGATGCATGTATTACATTAACAGCAATATCTCAGGGAGACTAATTTGGCTGTATTTTGAAGGACAAAATAAAGATGGGAAAAATGACAACCAGCAAGACTTGTTAGAAAGTGAATTTTATGATTATTTAGAATGATGACATTGTAAATTGAGAGGTTTGCTTTATCCACTCTCCTCTATTTTCCTTTAGTCTTTCCCTTTCTACTATTTTCTCTTGCCAATTCTCTCTCATCCATAGTGAAAGATATATTAAAACAACATATAATAAATAATAAAATTACTTTCCAAGGGTGAGTCCTTGTTTAGCTACTATCCTTGCCATTCACTCCTGAAATCACTGAAACTTGGTTTCTGTCATGATACAGAAGAAGAAATGATTCATTTGTCTAGGAGAAAGTAGACAATTTGGGAACACTTCTTTGAAAAGGTAACATTTGGGTTGAGAATAAAAAAGGATGACTAGGAGTTGGCCAAGTGAAGAACTGGGGTTTTCACGCAAATTCTGTGTAAAGACATTCTAGCACGCATATTGGAAAGGTGTTTTGATTCTATTTCTAGGGTTTTGGTTTTACCTCGAGGAGATATGCTGAATAAAGCTAGTCTCATTAAAAATCCATTATTTCTTCAATTCAGCCTGGAATAAATGGGGCAGAAATTTTAGTCAGGATGCTATTTTCATTTTGAAAGAATTTTTAGCAGTTGAGTTCACAAGTATCTAACCAGAATTTCTCAGGTTTACAGTCCCTGCCTCATTTTGATGATGGTCTCTTCCATATTCCATGAACTCTGTGAAAACAGGGAGCAGGACTAGTTTGTTTTTTTACTTCCACTACCTAGCGGAGAGCTTAGAACCCAGTCACTACTCAGCAAACTTGGGTGTATTCATGAAAGGCTAAATAAAAAAAAGAAGACATATGAAAAACACTATGAGAAAATATAGAGAAAATAAAGGAGGGGTGCCTGGGGGCTCAGTTGGTTAAGCGACTGCCTTTGGCTCAGGTATGATCCTGGAGTCTAAGGATCCAGTCCTGCATTGGGCTCCCAGCTCCACGGGGAGTCTGCTTCTCCCTCTGACCTTCTCTCCTCTCATGCTTTCTCTCAATCTCTCTCTCAAATGGGTAAATAAAATCTTAAAAAAAAAAAAAGAAAGGAAAGGAAAGGGATGAGTAAATGGTGCCTCTTAAATTTTGGATATGAGTGATTAGGGAAAAAAGATGGTTAACAGTGGCAAATAGTAAATAAGGTAAAGAAAAGTTCTGACTTGGGTATGTGAAATCGAGGTTGCATAGGGTCTATTAAAGATGAAGCATTGAGAAGGCAGTTAGAGATAGAAACTGATGTTTGAGAGAAGTCATGGCTATAGTTATATTTCTGGAATCATCAACATAAAAATTATAGTTTATGTTATGAGAAAAGATAAACAATTTGAAGAAAAAGGAAAAATGGCAGGAAAAAAATCCTAGTTTTAGTAGGCACATCTATATACTGCTGAAAAAAATTAAATTATATAAACTATTACTAAGGCTTAGAAATACCTGAAGTTGAGATTTTTTTTAGGGTACTACCCATCAATTCTTATTATTGCATATGTTTACAATAAAGAGACTGCTTGCTTTCATAGTATTAGATATTTTGAACTTTTGTATGAAGAGGGACAGATTTTTACAAATGGCACAGGCAGACATTAACTATCATTCTCAAAGGAATTTTAACAAAGAAAAATGACCTTTGAAAACATCAATCTACAAAGATATTTTTATCTATATATTTAAAGCAATAAATTGTTTCTGTGGCATTTTGGTGTTTCCGTTTCTCTTTCATGTTTTTAGAGAGAAAAGGGAGGGGTTATTATTTCTAAGATACAAAATACAGTATCTGAAATGGAGTTTGAAATAAAACTGTCACGCTCTGGAAGCTGCGTAATATAGCTCTCACACTAGATAGAATATTTTTT